CAACAAAACAAATCAGCGCACAGAGCAAGATTATTCAATAATCATTGTCTCCCAGGAGGCGTTGGGGTGGACGGTGGGCCCAGAAAGAACTGAAGCCAAAGGCTATGGAACACAGACAGCGGCGTAGTGACTGGAGGCATTCACGCTTGGCTGATCATGCCTGTTTGTGTCTCCGCCAGAAGTTAGAAACATTGTCTATTGGCAGCTGTCGGTTGGGCGAGGCTCGCAGCTGGCCGAGATCAATGCCGGCAGCACTTCAACAAAACAAATCAGCGCACAGAGCAAGATTATTCAATAATCATTGTCTCCCGAATCCGCTATCATGTAGTGTTCTGGCAGGGCACGGAGGACAGGGATGGGTGGGTGGGGGACGCAAAAGGCGGACTGCGACTGAGGTGCTCAGCCAAGCACCGAGAAAAAGCTGCACAAAAACGCTGCGGATACTGCTGGGTTTTCTTGGTGCGCCAAACTCCGTGAACCTTGCCGGTCAGAGACGCATGAGGCTGCTGAGAAAAGGCGCAAACTCCTCTGGTGCCTGTACAACGTTTGCCTAGCGTTCTCAGCGCAGGGCAGTGCCATACCAGCAGCCTCGTGGGCTTTTTCCAAGGAGTGCCGTAGGCACACTGATCCAGCAACACGTCTTGGTGGTCAGAAAAATCAGCTCGCAACTGAAGGATACCAGGATGAAGCCAGAGCCTGGATGTCAGTGGGTTCTCTATGACCACAACGATTCTCTTAGGTAAAAGTTCAGAAAGCAACTTTACCAACATCTCTACCATAAGATTTCCCAACTGCACAGCTTCCCTGTCACAATCTCGTTCATACTGCGGATACCCCAACAAAAACTTGTCATCATCACGCAATCGGGGAAGAGGAGGACGGTCGCGAATACGAGTCCAGGTCGAGCACACGATACCGACCCAGAGAGCTGCGAACACCCCACTCAGCCCGAAGCGGTTCTTGCCCGTTTGGAAGTCGCGGGCGATGCTCCTGATGACGGCCGCACTCGAGAGGTCGGCCTTTGAACTGATTTCCGTGTCCCAGCCGACGCCGCCGATGCCCTGGCGGCCCGCGCTGTCGAGGATCCCGCGCGTGCCGCAGTACAGCTCTTGGAGGAGCCACGGTGTCCTCCAGCGCCGCGCCCGCCCGGGCTGGGGGCGGAGAACATGCCCACCTGAGACTGCATCCACACGGCCGCGCGAGACGCGGCGGCCTGTTGCGCCGTCGACAGCTTGGCCCACTCCTGCTGCACCAACCCCGCCGCCTCGTACCGCTTGACGGTCGCGTCCGAGCTCCACCTCCCTCGGCGCTTGACGTCGAGGAGCGTGCGGACCCCCATGAGGATGTCGTGGGATGGCCCCGCGTGGCGGATCTGGTACAGGCGATACCGCTGGGAGGGAAGCAACCCGAGCTGCTCCTGCGAGCGGCCCCACTGTGTGCTGAGCTCCCTCTCGCTGACCTCGAACAACTTGGCCAGCCGATGGCCTCGAAGTCGCCGATGCAGCGCGGGGCCCAGACCTGGGAGGTACGGAGAGTCGAGGAGCAGCGCCTCGTCGGACACCCCCACCTTTGACGTCTCCCCGCGGCGGGCCGGGTGCACGTTGAGCACCCAGTGAGTGCTCGAGCCTCCTGGCGGCACCAGGTCCTCCTCCCTCAGGCTGTGGACGTCCACGGGCCTGAAGTAGCAGACGAACATGGTCAGCAGGCAGAGCGGGATGGTCCAGTCCTGGAGGCGGAGGTATATGTGCCAGGCGATCCAGCACACCAGCTCGAACGGGACGGGCGGCACGGTCTGCGCTGGGGCCAGCAGGCCCAGCCCCCGAGCGGCACGGGAGAACCGCGGAAAACGCAGCTTCCCGATGGGGGACAGGCCGGCCAGGTGCCAGGCGGCCGCGGCGTACATCTTCATGAGGTCGGGCCGCTCGAACCCTTCGAGAAACAAGTAGTCCGCGAAGTCCACCAGCGCAATGTCGGCATTCCTCACGCTGTCCAAGGTGTAGCCGTTCATGGCCACAAAATCCTGGAGCTCCTCCCACCAGGCTGTGTACAGGCCCTCCGTGGGTGCCGTAATCGAGTGACGTTCGAGAATGGAATGCTGGCCCGACAGGGCAAGACGCTCGAAGGCCCCGAAGATGCTCTGGCGCCTCTCTCGACGGATGTCTCTCGAAGGACCTGAGATGCGTTCCACAGCTCCCTGGCGTTGGAGGCGCAGCGGCGTCGAGCCCACAGGCCTCGCTGGGGTGGAACCCCGGTGGTGCCGCTGGAGCCGTGAGGTCACGCCCTCCCCGTGACGCGCCAGAGCTGTCTTCTTGCCCTTGGCGCGGCGGGTGGGCGCCCGAGCCGCTGCGGCCCTTCGGAGCCCTGACGTCACTCTCCCATCGTCTGGAGGATCGGTCGGCAACCTCATTGAGCTCGGAGGGGGTCCATCGTGCAGATAGACTCGAGCCAGTGGCCAACATGTAGGTAGCAATACGCCTGATGATGATGAGCAGGTCGTACGATGATGCCCGAGAACGCCCAATAGCAAGAGTGTTCCCCAGCTGGTCCCCCACGAGTAGAAGACGCTTACCAAAAGACCGAGACGACCTCATATAATGCTGTATCCCCAACAGAGACGCCCGACCTTCCAGAATAGGTATAGCCTCCTCCTTCCTGAAACGCATAGCAAACACCTCGTGCCACTTGTCGGGGTCCATGAAGGCCTCTGGGATCTCGTCGAACCCTGGGTTGACCTCCAGGTCCTCAGGAGCCTCCCCTAGGGCCTGTCGGGTTACTGGTAAGACCGTGTCCACATCGTGAAGAGGGTCCCCACCTAGGGCATGCAGACGAGGGCGACAGTGAAGGGGATGACGAGAGCGATATCTCCATCTCTCACGGACTCGGCCGATGGACGCTACTTCTGAGGGGTCAGCCTGGCGCACCGCAATCCCTGCACCAGACTCGCACGCATCAGTCGACACAACTGTATCGTGCCACGGCCTGTCCAAACGAGCGAGGCAAATGAAAGTTAGAGAACGTATCCAGCGAACTTCGCGCCGTGCAGAAGCCCATAAACTCTGGGGCTTCCTCTCTGCCGCCTGCGCAAAATCGTAGCAGGCTCTGAGCGCCGAGAGGACCTCCCGTCTAATCAGAAAGAAATCGACCACGTGGCCAAGGTACTGCTTCATCTGCCTACCCGTCACTGGTTGACCCCCCTCAAGAGCCTCACAAACCTTGCGAAGACGTTCCCCTCGTTCAGACCGATTACGAACCACCCAGGACTCCCCATCGATAACGCGACCCAGCGAGTACGACAGGGTCTCGGGCTCGGTCTCCTCATGGACAGTGAACTGCACGAAACGAAGCCTCCGAACGATCACATCCTTAGCCTCCTTCACCTCCTCCCTCCTGATGCCAGCCACATTGATGTTGTCGCAATAGGGTAAAACGGCCAACTGGGTCCCAAGATCCGGAGCAGGGGCTTGGTCTCTCAGAAACTTGAAAGCCAAGCCAGCCCCAGCCAAGGAAACTCTGCACTGGTGTTCCACGAGACGCTGGACGAAATAGAAGGCCCAGGAGAACCCCATTGGAAGAGTCAACAGCATAGGGTAAACCGATACTTCACGTGCCAGATCCCCAAGGCCACTAGGGCCAACAATACCAGCGTCGGCCCTCTCTCCCTCCGTGATCGGCGGCATGCAAAAATACGGGCACAGCTCTGGAAGGTTGCGAACGCAGTGGAAACAATCCTTCACGTCCGCCTGGGCCACCCAGAGCTTGCTTCCGCCGCTTCCGCTGTCGTCAGCTCCGCCGACCTCGGTTCCAGGACGAGCCTCGGGACGCTCCAGGTTGCCCCAAGCTGCAGCCGTGCCCATCTCAGGGGCAGGGGGTGCTCGGAAGAGGAGGTTCGTGTTTCGGCAATCCATGATGAGTCGTAACCTGTCGTGCTTCTTTACTACGAAGAAGGGGGTCACCAGGCTCAGAGGCTTCTCTGTCCATCCAATCATCTTGGCGTCGCTAAGGTCTCTCAAAAACTCAACGTAGACTCCTCGCTGCGCTTTAAAAATCTCGTCGAAGTACAACCTAAACTGATGTCCCGACTCTCGATAGAACCCCACGTCAGCAGGGTCAGCAAGCATATGAGTATCCCATGACTTCAGCAAATCCTGGTCAGGCTCCGGGAGGGTAGACAGTAGATCCGCCGAGGGCCTCCCGGGATCTGGAAGAGAAACCTGATCCCGCCGATAGGGACGAACCGTGGTGCTGCAATCGCTGCCTGCATAGTCAACGATGCCTGACAAGAGCTCGCGGACGGCCCCGTGTCTGGTGTACAAGGTTTGGGATGGCGGAGTGGACGCGACGTCACAGCGTATCGCATCCTGAGACAGCATCTGGCCCATCGCGGGGGTACCGTCGTGCACCCCGGCGCAGCCCTGCATCTCATTCAAGGAACTGATGACAGAGTTGGTAGCCCTGTCCAAAAACCTCCTCCTCGCCAGGCGTCTTCGCACCGAGCGTGAGGGATGACCCTCAGTAGCCGACTGCTCATCGACGTGAGGGAGCGGAAAGAGATCTCGTGGCCGAGCTCTATCAAAAAGTTGTGGACCTCCTGGGTGAGTCACTGCCGAGGGGCTAGGTCCGTCGCCCCTCGGAGGGGGCCGCATCACCGCTGTCCCTCTGAGGTCTTGTCCTTGTTGTTCTTGTGATTCTGGCGGCCCAGGCGGCGCTCCTCTCGAGCCTTCCTCTGCTCCTTGGCCACCTGGTGCTCATCGCGGAGGGCGGTCGCCACGTGTTGCTGGAGCAGCGGGGCCACCATCATGCCCTGTCGGCGGCGGCCCCATCCCATGTGCTGGTCGGCGGCCGAGTAGTCGGGGGCCGACGGGCTCAGGGAGTGGGCGCTCTCGATCAGCTGGAGCCTCCTGCACACGAGCTCCGCACTGCGCAGCGCGGGGGCGTGCAGCTGGTCTGTGCACACCATACTCTCGAGCACCTCGGAGAGCACCTCATGCTCGAAGACGCTGCGGTCCCCGCTCGACACTCCCGATGTCGCCCTCCACGACGCATGCTGAGACACGGGCGTCTGGGACCTCTCGACATAGGTCTGGCACCTCCAGGACACTGTGCCGGGGCCCTCCAGCCCTAAGCCTCCCTCGGGCTCGTCGGGCACGAAGCTGGCGACGCCATCCTGGAAGAGCCTCCTGCGCCTCCCCATGCCATCGAACTTCACGGGCATCACCCGGAGGTCGTCCATCTTGAACTCATCGATGCCGTCCTGGGGGATCATCTGCAAGAACGCCGTGCTGCCGTCCGCCATGGGGGCGACCGCCCTCTCGCCCAGGACCACCGATCCCGCGGGGAGCTCCTCCACGCCATCGCCCTTCTGGTGGCGGCCGTGGTCCTCGGCGAAGACCCACACGCGGCCTGGCTCGGCGCGTCTGGCGGCCGCCCCGGCGGGCCGGCCTAAGCCCTGCCGCTGCACGTTCCGCATCGGGGCCGCCAGCGGGGCGGGCGGAGGGGCTGGTGCTGCCCCCAGCATGCCCTGCGCCTCTGCGAAGAGCCTCTGGCGCTCATTGGGCTGCACGTTGTGTCGGAAACGATAGATCTGATTCTCTGGCACATGGGCGGGGCGGCCTCCGGGCAGCCCGATCCAATACACCGCTTCGATGTCATCCCCAGGCGCAATATTGAACTGATAGTGATCCTGGTCGGCGGTGTACAGGGTGACCTCAGTGGGATCTTCTGGGCTGACCCCTGTGATCAGCGTCTCGTGATACAAGTCCTCGTCGACCCCATTGTACTTAATAAGGATATAGTCTCCCCTGGCTGCCATATCTACTGCTGCTTGTGGCGGCCAGTCTCACGACGGGCGCGAACGGCTGCTACCTGCTCAGCGGCGAGCCGCCGCCGCCTCTCGTCCAGCTCGGTCGAGCTGGTGTGCTGGTCGTTCGTTCCTCTCTGGCCACGCGTCCTCCGGGCACACCACCACCCGAGCAACACTCCCGCGACTGAGGCAACCAGCAGCGGCAGGAAGAGGATGGCGAAGATGCCGTCCTCCAGCAAGGGGTACACCTCCCTGATGTCGGGGACCGACGGGCACTCCACGATCGGACAATCAGTCTCGGGGCACTCGGGTCTGGGGCAGACCACCTCTGGGCACTCGCAGACCACCTCTGGGCACTCCTCCTCGTGCCCTGGGTAGCCTCCTCCGCCCCCAGGAGAGGCGGACTCCTCCCGCCCTCGCACGGCCTGCCAGACGAGGGCAGCCCAGCCCGGCAGCCCTGCTATCGCGGCAGCGTACAGGGCTTGGAGGTCTGGGTCGAGCATACACCCAGAAAGAACTGAAGCCAAAGGCTATGGAACACAGACAGCGGCGTAGTGACTGGAGGCATTCACGCTTGGCTGATCATATGGATACACAAGCCCGTCATTGCGCTTGTGTGTACGTGTGTGTTTGTGTCGCTCCCTCGCGTTTCCTGTTTCGTCTGATTTCTGCGAAGCAGCAATTCGCCCCCCGAAGCGTCGACCACAACACGTTTTTATGGTAGAGTCCTGACGCATTTTACACTCCGGGCAAACAATGTCGCCCACTTTAGAATAAACGGACGGACATTTCGTTGCCCTTTACCCCTTCCCCAGATCTGCAATAGCTAAGACGGCCCCAAAAGCCTCGTCATATTGATCCATGACTGCCTCAAAGTGGCTCCACGACTGCCAAACGCCCCAAGACGATCCAAGATGGCCTCAAGACGTGCCGCGAAGCCCCCCAAATGTCTCAACATTACCCGAATAAGCCTCCAAATGTAAAACACACAATTGATTGCCACCTGGTTACTTAACGGTTTTAGTGTTATCGCGTTTTCGAGCATGGGGACGCCCATGACGGCCCATCCAATATCGCCCCAAGACGGCACAACAGCCTCCGAAGACGGCCTCAGGACGGCCCAGGAGGGCTCCATGACACCCCAGTAGGTCTCCCAGGCGGCCCCAGAAGCCAGAAAGGCCCGACAAGAGGAAATTGAGACTGACCTTGCGAGCCGCTGCCCGAAGAAAACCTCAAGAGGCCCCCAGAGGCCACCAAGACGCACAGTCCTAATTGATGTTGCCTGCAATCACCTCGGGCAACAGGTCGACGCAACTGGCTTTGCGCTCCCCCCGCCCGCCTGCGAGAACTATCTGCGACTCCTTTTCAACCACGCTTTCCCCTGCGCTTTCCTCCCAACTGGTGCTGCGGTTCCTAGGCTCCACCGGGAGAGGATGAAGGAACCATCGGGGTGAACGAAAGGGGGTGCTGGCAAGAGAGGGTCAGCGAATCAGCTACATGTACCTGTATTGCTCGGGCGCCTCGAGAATATCAGGGCGACCACGCATCGAGGAAAGCGAGCGACTGGCGGTGGAGCAGAGACCTGCTGCATGCAGTACTTTTCGTGCCGCCCCCTCCTTCTCCCCCGTCGCAGACCGCCCGGCAGCAAAAGAACCAGCTCGCGGGCAGCGGCGGTCCTGCGGGTCCACGCTGGCGCTCGCCTGGGCGAAGGCGGCGCGCGCACTGGGCGACAATCGTGGAGCGCGCGGCGTGGGAGCACTGAGGCTCCCCGTGGATCGGCCTTCGAGGATGGAGGCGAACCAGACTTCACATGAGGCGTCTTCCCACCAGTGAGAAGCGCAAGCCAGAACATTCGGACAGCGCGGTGCTAAGATCTCTCAAGGCGGCCTTGTCCAATTCTTGCCGTGGGGCGGATGGCAACCGAAGCACGGTGACAATCCAGGCAGCAACTTTCAGGAAAGTCCGCAGAGCGATACAATACCGCACCCCCGCCTCCGCTCATTTTCAATTCAAAATCAATTCTTCCATGTCGCACCCCGGGGCCGGTCGGAATGGCGGGCCGCGCGTTTCGCTGGAGACTTCCATACATTGTATAATCCTGAAACTTAAAAACAAAAAACAATTTTACAGATGGAGGGCGGGCCGCTTCCAAAATGTGCTTCTCGCCTGGGCGCCTCACGTACTCGTCTGAAACAGTTGCAAGAGTTCCACGGCTTGAGGGCGGGTGGTTTTCAAAATGTGGCTCTCGCTTTAGCGCCGCGCACTTCCATTTAAAACCACTGCAAGAGTTTAACGGATTGAGGGCGGGCCGTTTTCAAAATGTGGCTATCGCCTCAGCGCCGCGCGCACTCGTTTCCTCGTTGTTGTTTCTATTTTCCGTTACAAAATGAAATATAAAAAAGCTAGAGTTTCGCGGGTTCCCCTAGGTGGTAACGTACCAAGAACGGTGTTTAGAAACGATTCAGGATTGTGTCGGCGCCACCGTTGCATGAAGTCCGGGCGTCGACGTCCCAAGAATGGTGTTCTGGCACGATTCAGGATCGTCAAGACGCAACAGTCAGGTTGGCGTTGGAACACCCAGAATGGTGTTGTAGCACCCTTCAAGATATTCAAACGTTTGTCTCCCAACGGGGCCCGTCCTGCAGTGAACATAAATTCGTGTAGGGGCCTATGAGGAGGAAGCTTGGAGGTTTTTTGTTCCAACGTAGTTGATGAATGTTGGGTTTACACTGCTCTTCCTCCTCCCCCTTCTCCTCCCCTTGCTTCCTGCTTCATCGCTCCGTTCCGCGTTCTCTGCACCTGCATCGGTGAAACTGCCACCACATGTGGGCATGTATCGCAGGTTTGCTTGTGCCGTCGTGTCGAACTGCCTCGACTCAGAGGAAACGGTTTCGGAACTTCGAGCGCACTCGGGGCGAGGTGGAAGACTCGCCCTCTCCCGAAACCATACCAACTTTCGGCGAGCGAAAAGGTCAGAGGCAATATCTTCCAAGGGCTAGGGGCGGGGACTGGCACTGACCTGACCTCCCCGCCTCCCTTTTAAAACACTCGCTTGCATCTTCCTTCGGCAACACAGAAATAAGTACCAACCAACGCTGACACCGTGTCGGAGATTTCGCAGCACAGCTCGGGCAACGGAAAGCACGCAAGTAGTCTCCCATCCTAGTCTACTCCACCTGAGCGCGAGCAAGCTGCTCAACTCGACTCCGCGATACTCAATCTTCGAGTATACGCGGCTCCCACCCTTTCTACCATACTCTACGGTTGAATACGTCAGAATGAAAGACATCTCAGGCCTAGCTAACACTGTATCTCGGCCCTGTTCTACTCTACTGTACTCACGCTGCCCTGTGGTGCTTTATCATCTACTGTGATGCCCTCGGCCTGACCTTACTCGACACGACTGTACTCTACACGACTGGATTCCTGTATTGGTTACGCTACCCAGATGTGCTCCACGGAACCATCGAATCCGCCACACGCGCCGAACAACAGCCTGCTCATCCCTACTCTACCCAATTCGATCCTACTATGTGTGAGTGTTCTGTACTCTGGTACTCTATTCGCCCAACCCGATAGTGCATGGTATCTTCGAATGGCCCCCCACACGGTGCGATGGCGGTAAACAAGGAGGGTGACGCTGGTGCTTGTTCACCATATTCTTAAATGGGGTTCTTCAAATTGCTCTCCCCACCGCTGAAGGACCTCACCTCCTCCCCCTCCTCCTCCTCCTCCTCCTCCTCCTCCTCCTCCTCCTCTTCACTCAGCACACTTAGACTCACTCACGCTCAGACGCACTCAAGACGCATTTACCACTCAGGCTCAACTCAGGCTCCCTCGTGCTCAGAATCGCTCACAGACAGACTGTGAGGATGTCTCAGGCCACGCGCTGGTGTCAGCACTCCCAAGGAGGGGCGGGGGGGGGTCTCACGAGCCCGTTTGCATGCACAGCATCAGCACTTCGTGGGAATGTCTCAGGCGAGGCGCTGGTTCCAGCACTCCCAAGGGGGGGCGGCAAGGGGGTGTCCCACGAGCACGCTCGCGCCCAGACTGTCGGGATGACTCCAGCGCTTCGCCTGCGTGCCCAACATCAGCCATTACTTTCGGAGCAGTTCGCGAGGAAGTCTCAGGCGAGGCGCTGGCTTCAGCACTCCCACGGGGTGCGGCATGGGGGGTGTTGCACGGGCCCGCTCGCGCCCAGACTGTGGGGATGACTCAAGCAGTTTGCTTGCTTGCGTGCCCAACGCCAGCAATCTCTTCCGGTGCAGTTCGTGAGGATGTCTAAGGCGAGGCGCTGGCTTCAGCACTCCCAAGGGCCTCAGATTGCGAGGATGTCTCAGGCGGTTTGCCTGCTTTCGGGCGAAGCCTCAGGAGGCCCCAAGAGGCCCCAGGAAGCCCCAGGAAGCTTCAGGATGCCCCAAGAGGCTTCAGCAAATTTCAAAAGGCCCCTGGAGGCCCGAGGAGGTCCCAGTAAGCTCCCTCCAGAAGGCCCCAGGAGGCCCGAGGAGTCACCATAAGGCCCCAGTAAGCCCCAGGAGGGCCCAGGAGGCCCCAGGAGACACTCCAAGAAGCTCCAAGGAGCCTCCTGGGGCTCAAATCCTACGTGGTGTGCACATGTTCCCATATATGGTCGAGGGTTTGGGCCCCCCCCCCAATGCTAATGCCTTCCCCCCCCCCCCCCCGCGCGAGGCCCCCCCCCTGTGGGCATGGGCGTGGCGTGGTGGCTCCCCCCCCTGTGGATGTGGTGTGGGTGTGGTGTGTTGCTGTGGGTGTGTGCGGGGGTGACGCCATGATCCTCCTCCCCCCCTCCCTCCCCCCCTGTGGGTGCGGTGTGGGTGTGGCGTGTGGCTGGGATTGGCGTCATGTTGACAGCTCCGGTGCTCGACGTCGTCGCCGCCGCCGCTGGTGGTGCCGTCGACGTCGTCGTCGTTGTCGTCGTCGTCGTCGTTGTCGTCGGTGTCGGTGTCGGCGTCGGTGTCGGTGTCGTCGTCGTCGTCGTCGTCGTCGTCGTCGTCGTCGTCGTCGTCGTCGTCGTCATTGCCGTCGTCGTCCTCCTCCTCCTCCTCCTCCTCCTCCTCCTCCTCCTCCTCCTCCTCCTCCTCCTCCCCCCCCCCATCCCATCTGCAGGGGGGGGCCGAAGACCCTGGGGCCCATCCCATCTGGGGGAGGGGGGGCCCGAGGACCCGGAGCCCGCGTTCATATATCGCCCCTCTCCTGGGGTTTGAATCATATGTGTTTTACGCGTGTTCATGTCGATTGCCTCTCCCATGGGGCCCGAATTCGATATATATATATGTGTGTGTGAAGGGACGATTGTGGTATAATGTGCGTTCCCTCTCTTTCCGTATTTTCACTCCATCACTACCCTTATCCCTCCTGTTTTGCTATGCTTTGTAATCTTTTTAGCATTCTTCATCCTCGTAATTGTCCTCACCCTTTCGTTATGTCGTTCATCTTCCCTTTCTCCTCATCATGGCCTTCGCCGACTTTCCGGTTCCCTCTCCCCACCCTCCCTCATCCTCCTCATCATCCTCCTGCTCTCTTTCATCCTCATCCTTGTTCTGCTCCTCATACGCATCTTCATCGCCATCATCATCAGCATCGTCATCATCGTAACCAGCATGACCATCATCATCACCATCGTCGTTGTGGCAAGTGTCGTTGTGGCCCCCTCGCTTCCTCCTCCTACTACGACGACCCAGGCGTCGAGACAGTAGGACTCGCGCCGTGCATTTTTCCCCCGGAGTGGTGGGGGCGCAGCTCTGGGGAAAAATCAACCGACTAAGAAGTCACTGTCGTGACGACGTCTCTGATCAGGCGCCCATGGATGTAAGGTCTTGAGGCTCTACCGAAGACATGGTTCCGAGACCGACTCAGAGAAAGTGTGCATAGGGAGAGGAAGGGCACGGAATGGAAACTTTGAACGCCGACGAAGAGATAAAAATCGGCATCAGCTACCGCTGGCGTCCGCGCGCGGTGGGAGCTCCGCCAGCAGCGCCGCGCGACGCGGGCTTGCGCTTCAAAGTGAAAGCTGTTCTCTTGATCCCAGGCACTCTGCGATCGCGCAGACTGTCCAAGAGCGCCCTTGCAGCGGGCTTCTTCTGAGCACCGCGCCGCCCGGCAGTCGCGGCCTCGCGCGCCGCTGGCTTTCCCCGAGCGCACGCGGCGCGTTCGGCAATCAGCCGTGCGACTCTCTGTCGGGCTTCGCGGAGCGGAAGCCGCGCGGGCGCCGGGATGTCGGCGCCGCGCTGCTCCAGGAGCGCACAGTACCTCTTCCAATCATCCACTGGGAAAGCCCATGCCATAATGCTTCGCGATAGCACGTTGGCCTGTCGCAGCTGCCGCAGCGTCGGCGAATGCAGCGCGCAATTGTGGGCTTGCAGCTCGCCCAAGAAGCCAATCCTAAGTTGCAGCTCCGCCGTCGAAGCGTAGATGTCTCCCTGGTTGCGAAACCACGCGTTGATTTCGTGGTTGAAGGATTCGTTGACGGACGTGCCAGACCCCAACAGGGCTGAGCGCGCCGCCGGCAAGGAATGCCTGAATCGCTGATTATTGAAGGACCATTGCATGCGGGCTGGGGCGGTCGCATTGTAAAGCAATCTCTTGAGTTGAGCGTTATTCACGTGAGTGCGGCGAGCAAGCTCTTCTGGAACCAATGCGCTCAGCGCGGCGATAGCTGCGATGAACTCGCGCGTCGTTT